GTCCATTTCAGTGAGGGGGGTGTTAAAGTCCCCCACTATTATTGTATTGTTGTCAATGTGTTTCTTTGCTTTTGTTATTAATTGGCGTATATAATTGGCTGCGCCCATGTTAGGGGCATAGATATTTACAATTGTTAGATCTTCTTGTTGGATAGACCCTTTAAGTAGGATATAGTGTCCTTCCTCATCTCTTATTACAGTCTTTGGTTTAAAATCTAATTTGTCTGATATAAGGATTGCCACCCCAGCTTTCTTTTGGTGTCCATTAACATGGTAAATGGTTTTCCACCCCCTTACTTTCAGTCTGGGGGTGTCTTTGGGTCTAAAATGAGTCTCTTGCAGACAGCATATCGATGGGTCTTATTTTTTAATCCAATCTGATAGCCTGTGTCTTTTGATTGGGGCATTTAGCCCATTTACATTCAGGGTAACTATTGAAAGATACGAATTTAGTGCCATTGTATTGCCTGTAAGGTGACCGTTAACTGTATATTGTCTGTGTTCCTTTCTGGTCGATGTTGCTTTTAGGCTCTCTCTTTGCTTAGAGGACCCCTTTCAATAGCCCTGTACTTTTAAAACATTAAAAAATTGAGGTATAGGGGTGCCTGGGTGGCTCAGTTGGTTAAGTGTCCAACTCTTTTTTTTTTTTTTTAAAGATTTTATTTGTGAGAGAGAGAGAGAGGGAGAGAGCACAGCAGGGGGAACGGTAGGCAGATGGAGAAGCAGGCCCCTGCTGAGCAGGGAGCCCGATGCAGGACTTGATCTCAGGACCCTGGGATCATGGCCTGAGCCTAAGGCAGACGCTTAACTGAGCCACCCAGGTGCCCCAAGTGTCCAACTCTTGATTTCACCTCAGGTCATGATCTCAGGGTCGTGAGATCGAGCTCCATGTCAGGCTCCACACTGAGCATGGAGTCAGCTCAAGATTCTCTTTCTACCTCTTGCTCTGCCCCTTCTCCCTGCCCCCCCGCTTGCATGTGCACACTCTCTCTCAGAAAAAAATATTGAGGTATAATTTATGTATATGAATTGCACCTGTCTTATGTGTACGGCTTGATCAATTTTGACAAAGGTATACACCTGTGTAGCTTACACTCCCTTGAAGATATAGACCATTTCTGTCACTATAGAAAGTTTCCTCATGCCCCTTTCTCATTATTCGCTTCTCATCCACCACCAAAGCCACCACGGATCTGATGTCTGTTACCATAGATAAATTCTGTTTATCCTGGAGCCTCGTATAAATGGAAACACACAGGAAGTGTTCCTTTGTGTCTGGCTCTTCATTCTGAGTAGTGTTCCAAGATTCATCCAGGTTGTTGTCTGTTTCACTAATTGATTCCCTTCTATTACTGAGTAGGGTGCTAGTGTATGAACATACCACCTTTTGTTTATCCGTTCACCTGCTGATGTTCACTTGCACCGTTTCCAGTTTTTAGCTGTTACGAATAAAGCTTCCATGAACATTCTTTTTTTAATTTCTTTTTAAAGATTTTATTTTTACATAATCTATATACCCAACATGGGGCTCGAACCTATAACCCCGAGATCAAGAGTCACACACTTTACCAACTGAGCCAGCCAGGTGCCTCCCCACCACGAACATTCTTACACAAGAATTTTTTGTGAACTTAGGTTTTCATATCTCATGGATAAATACCCTAGGAATAGAATTTCTGTGTCTTAGAATAGATGTACATTTAACTTTTAAGAAAGTGCCAGTTTTCTAAAGTGTTTATACCATTTTACATTCCTACTCAGCAATGTCTGAGAGTTCCAGTTCCTCCACATTGTCACTAACATTTGGTGTTCAGTCTTATTTTAGCTAGTCTGCATGGTCTCTTGATAGTGCTCTTGACCGAGCTGCCCTTCTCACTATTCCTGAGTGACTAGAAAGATACGTGTTTCTCTAGAGGCAGATATGGCCCTTTGGGTCCCAGGCTTGGGAGTGCTTTGGGAGACAGTGGTAGGGATCAGGTAGATAGTTCTCTTTATCCTGAGTGCAAACCCTGCCACTTTTCCCCCTTCGAGCACTGCGTTTGCTCCTTGGTGGTTGGAATCTACCTCCCCCTCTTGTCGTTCAACCTCATGATTCACACAGAGGACCCATCAAGCAGTGAGACCCACAGGAACTGGACCCAGAAATGACCTTGTTACCTGGTGTGTGCTCATGTGTGAGACAAAGCAAGTAGCGCTGATTACTTCTTGGAACTGACCTTCCATTTTCCTGCCGGTTCCCAGGGCCAAAATCTGGTGAGAGGAAGTTTTCTTAATATTCAGATATCAGTTAGTCTTGAATATGGTAAGATTGGGGCACACTCTTCACCGTGGCAATTTCATGCTCTGATCTTCAGAGAAATTGGATTCACTCCCTCACTCAGAAAGTCAGCAGAAAGCTCATGCTGTGACGAGCACTGGGTGATATCTGGAAGTGTCCAATCACTGTCCACCCGAAACGAATATGACACTGTATCTTAACTAACTGGAATTTAAGTAAAAACCGAAGAGAAAAGCGAAGGCCTAACTAGGACTGTGTTGCAGAAGGCTGCGTGTTGCTGCCACAAAACACGTTCGCGACTGTTCGGCTACGTAATTTGTGCTGAAATTGTGCATTCCCCAGTAGCTGGTGCAGGAGCGCTGTCTTTTGAGCACCTTTACCACTTTTTCAGGTTCCCGGACTGAGTTCTCACGGGTTTGGGCCAGCCAGCCACACGCTGCCTCATCATCGGGGCTGTCGGCAGCGCCGTCATTAACCTCTGCTGGGTAGAGGTTGGCGCGCACCCTCCTTATTGAAGAACGGGGGGAAGAGAGGAGCCAGGCTGCCGGCAGCAGAGGGGAAGCATTTGGGGCACATTTGAAATGAAGGACCAGCAGAGCCAGCTGGAAAGGGGAACGGTCTCTGCAGGGGAAGCAAGAGGAGTTAGGTGCTTTCAGGTACTGCTGGTTTAGTAGCGCTTAGCCTATGCCGGGGGTGATCCCAACGCCCTGGATATGAGATGAGTGAGGCAGAGTCCCTCCACGCAAGGACTTGGTGGTTACACAAGGAGAGACAGGCACGGCGTCAACTAAGTACTGTGTGGGAAATGTGTAGGCTTAGAAATGGCTCAAAGATAAAGAGTGAGCCATTCTCTCTGTCAGGAATTTATAGGCTCTGTTTTCAGGGTTTCAGTGAAGGTGATCACGTAACCAGTAAATTCCCTAGGACCGTGATGTTTTTCCTTTGTCTTCCTGCCTCCCAGCCCGCCTCGGACCACCCCACGGCTCATCAGAGCCCCCCACCGCAGCCCGTGCTGGGCTGGGAAGGCTGCCAGTGCCCCGCGAACCCCGTTCTGATGAGAGCCTGGGTGCAGAGAGGAGCAGCACCCGAGGAATCTCGAGGTCCTGCACTTAGCTCATCTCCTCTCTGTCCTTCCTCCTCACCACACAGACCGCACGGCCGGTGCCCTTGCACTGAGAGGGACACTGGAAGGGGGCCAAGAACCACAGTGGCCAGAGAGAGCGAAACCCTGCATGGACTGTCACTTCGCCCGCCTGCACGGGCCGGGGGGGCGGTGCTCTGGCCGCCCTCTGGGGCTGGGGTTCCCCCTGGTTACCTCGCTGTCACTTCTGTGTGGAAAGGGCCCCCCGCAGAAATCGTGCTCTTCCCGCGCTGAGCCTGATGTTGTCGTTTGCAAAACCCCTCCACCAGCGCCGGCCCGTGTAGATGGTGGAAGTGGTCAGGGGAGTCGTGGCAGGAAGAAAGCGAGAGCTCTGAACCTCTGGTTGGGCTGCACGAAAACCAGATCCCAAGAGACCCTCTCCCTTTGTAGTTAAGAGCACGCACATATGCACAAACAAAACAAAACAACAGTCGTGATAAAAAAAAAAAACAAACAAACCCTCTAAGGAGATGGAATTCAGGCCTTTCCTTCCCAAGAGGTGGTTGAATTAATTGAAATCGGTTCGGTCTCTGAGGAAGGGTAGCAGCCCGTTGGGTCTTGTTCTGACACTCTTGATTATAAGTGCAGCGATGAAGGAATTACTGACTGTATGTTGCACGCGCAGCTAGGACACTGTGAGTCCCTCACTTAGGAAGATCAGCCGTTCTTGCTCCAATCCATCCGGATCTGGGAGACAGACTGGGGCCCGGGGGTCTGGAAGGTCTGGCTCCTCCCGAGTCTCAGAAACTCCAGATTTGGGAGGATTAGGCTATCTGCTGTGGAAATGCTTAATTCCTTTTCTCTGGACATTTCTGGAAGGCTTTCTGCTTTTTTAATCTCCTGACTTCTTGTTTGTGACCAAGTTCAAATTCCAGAGAGGGAAGCGGCCAATATGTGTGATTATTTCCTCTTGTACCAAGTGGAACTAAAAGAATGAACTTACTTCACTAGAAATAAATGTACCCTTTGGACCTTAAACCCAAATGAGTAAGCTCAGTCGGTCTGGCCCCTGTGCTGTTCGTGCAGTAATTAAACACCAAATGAAAAAAAGATGGCACGCATTCACGATCTTTTTTTGGACATAAGGCAGAAAAGAATAGAATAATGTTAAAAAAAAAAAAAAGATTCTTTTTGTCCTACACTCCACCTTGGGCAGGGATGGCTGCCGGGTGATGAGGAAAGATTGTAGGGTTTGGAGTGACTCGGGGGTGTACATTCCGGCTTCCCAGTTCAAGAGGTGTGCAATCCTAGACACATCCCTTAACTTCTCTGAGCACCAGTTAAATGGGGATACTGGAACACCAGAGAGTTATTACAAGGACTGAAAGATGTCGTACATAGAGCTTTTAGCGTAGGGCCCTGTGCAGGCCAGACTCTCGCTAACTGGGCATTATGGATCATCACACTATTATTTTAAGACGATGCCGCTAACACAGAAACCCTGGGGATGGCAGAGGGAATTCAGTGCCGGGCAGCTCAGTGCTCAGATGGCTGTGCTGAAGACCCTCGCCTGTGTTTCCCGGGGCTGCTGGGGACGGGGCGTGTGGGGACCCATTGTCTCACCGTTGCTGTGCCTCTCAGGTGATCTCGTCAGCGTCCCGGACTTTCCGTTCCTGTATTTCTACAGATTCCATGGCAGCTGCTGTGCCAGGTAAGCTTAACCCATAAACCCCTGGCCCTATTAATTTGTCTTCATCAAGTCCAGGGTCACTGCCGGTTGGTTATCCAGATGAGGGCAGAAGAGAGTGGTGGCCGGGCCAGGAAGCTGCTCCCTTGGCCATCTGGGGGTTGTCATCCACATCCTTAGGTGCTCAGGGCTGGCCTGGGGCCTGGGGGACCTGTGTTCTACAGAAGTTTCTTGGCCAGGGCAGAAGAGCCAAGAACCTTGCACTGTTTTTCTCTCCACAAGCCATTCCTAAACAGAACTTCATTGTATAAGATGATGCATTGGATTCAGTTCAAGGGAAGATTTGGGTCCAGAATTGCACCCGTTCAGCTTCCTCCTTGGCCCCTGCTTTGTCCCTAAAGGGCGCCCTCCCAAAAATCTTGACTGAATCCTAAGACCCTGAGAAACAGGTTTTGGAAACCAGTGACTAGGCGACATCTAGACAACAAAGTGACCTTCACTACGCGGCCTTGGGAGGTACTAAGACCAATGAGATGGGTACATATAGATGAAGTTCAGACCCACCCTCTACCCCTTCCTAGCCATGATTCCCATGTTGCTTGACTTTCTCATGCTGAGAAATGGAAAGACTTCTGTAGATAGTCTTGAGGTGTGTGTTCTGATAGGGTGGGAAGCCCAGTCTTGGGTTGAATGCCGGCCTTGCTGCTTGCTAATGTGTTTGTTCTTTGGGCAAGCTGTCCTAGTTCTGCCAAGCTTTAGTCGAGTTTTCTCATCTGTAAAGTGAAAAGATAATACCACTCCTGGGTGATCGCGTATGCTAAATAAGGTGTGTAAGCTCTAAGCATTTCGCCTGGCCTAGTAAATGATGGCCATTACTATTATCTGCTCAGCTTGAGTATAATTAACTAAAATGTCCACAGACCATGAGCAATTGCTAAGCCAGACCACTTCTTCCCGCACATAAAAGGTTGTACCTTGTGGGGCAGTGATTCTTTACAGAGTCAAAAAGCTGGTGTGTGGCTACATACTGTTTCTGATAGGGGTGTGTTAGGACAAAAAAAAAAATCAATACTGTACAGTTTGCTTTTGCATTTGAGCCTCAGAATGGCACTTAACATCCTCAGCTAACTTTCGGGAGGATGCTGTCAGAATTCATCTTCCCAGTTCCTGTCAGTTTGGTCAGGCCCTGTGGGCTGCCCGTTAGCCAGGCTCGGGTAGCATGACTGTTACTGCTCCTCTGGTGTCCATGGACTTGTTTCCCTTTGGGTCAGGTTTTTTGGCAGCACCAGCGCAGTGTGGAGGGGAGTACAGTCGTCGTTCCGTTCTTTGAAACAGAGAACACAGTTCGTAGCCCGTTGATGCTGGCTTGGTGGGGCAGTAGTCTGGCTCCATTTCTGCCCCTTTTAATCTGCAAATTTCTTACAACCCAGCATGAAAAATCAGGGTTTTATACTTTAAAGATTTGGAAATCGTTGCTTGAATTGCTAGGAATCTCTTACGTTCTACCCACCGCCAACCCCCGGCTGCAGTATGAAGCTTAAACTCTTTTAAGAATGTATCTGTTTTCCCCACGTCATCTCATGATTCCTCCAGGGCCGTAGCTCAGACTAAGTGTTGTCACCTTCAGAGGCCCTGGAGGAACTCAGAAGGAGTCATGGAGGCCTGAGAGGATGGTGGTAGCCGTGACCCAGACACACATTAACGGGGAACCCAGGCTCTTTTACTTCTGGGATCCTCCCATTGCTTTTAAGGTCTACCTCCATGGCGAGGGTAGAAGAGCTGAATGTGGAAGGAGAAAGAGAGGGACCCATGAGTAATTTGGAAATGATTCAAAGACATACCAGTCAAGGGATGGGAAGGAGTCATGGATGCTTTCCCAAGCGTGTTGGGCACAGACTGGGAGTGGCTCTGTTCTAGCAGAGTCTGTGCTGAGGGGAAAGGGGACGTGGAATTTTGCCCTTCCTCTGGCTGGAGGTGGGGGGGGGGGGGATCAGAGGGGGGGGCCTATGGGAGGCAGCACAGGCCCCTGCGAAGTTGTTACCTCCCTGGAGGCAGGGGTGGAGGCCACCAGCAGGAGCCCTGGAGCGCCGGCCGCCTTACTTTCCCCTGCCAACCTCGCAGTGGCCGCGGGCACCTGCAGCATCACACTCTGTCTTTGTTGGGTCAAGAAGGCATCTTCACTGTGGAGAACCTTTTAAAGAACCAGGACACCTGGATTCTGATTGTGCCTGCTCCTCAGTTTGCTTGTTAATAAAGTGAGATTTGGGGCTAGGGAGGCTTTCTGTTCTGAAAGTCTCTGATTTCCATAAGATAGGATGAGAACCACTATGCATATTCCTGCTTTAACAACACAGAACCTGAGGCAAGAAAAAAAGGGACAAAGGGGGATGAGTCAAGGTCATGAGGGTCAGTGGGCACAACCCAGGTCACTCAATTTCTAGCCTGCTGCTTACCCCCCTGGACCTCCTTGCCTTTCGGGTGTGAATGACTGACTGTCTTCATCCATAGCCGCCCAGCCTCCCATGACTACGGATGCAAATCTGAACAAACTTTGCAGGTCATCAGGGTCCAACAGGCTGAAATAAACGCAAGGGAACCCTCATCCCTGTCCTTGGTCCTGCCCCAAGAATGTGGCTATGAACTAACCTAATCTAATGAAGCGAAGGCACACATTTCTGTGAAATTTGGCCTTACAGCTGTTTAACTCAATCCAACCTGTTTCTTAGTAAATTTGTCAAACATTTATGTCATACCTACCGTGACCAAGGCACCATGTTTGGCTCCGTGGGGGAAAACACAGAGAAGCCCAAGATTGGGCCCTGCCCTCTCAGAGCGCATGATCTGAGTTGGGGCCCCACAGCAGTGCCTGTAATAAAGGTGAGATGACAGGGTGGCACTTGAGACCCTGGAGGTACAAATGATGCCTCCTGAAAAGCAGGAGATATGACTGCAGTTGTACCCCAAACCACAGAGGCAGGTCCTGCTTTTCAATTTCTCTTAAGTCACACTCAAGTCCCCGCTTGACAAGAAGTCAACTTCTATCATGGATTCTCTCTGCTACACTCTCTTCCCCAATTGCCCAGCCTCCAAATGCAAGGAGGAGTGACCATTCTGTTGGAGTGCCCTTCGCTTTGTCCTTGACCACACAGTGATGCTTTCAGAAATGGTTCCAGCATAGAGCACTACTTCCCCGTCCACCGCTATGCCAGTGCCTTGCTGCTCCAGATCTCTAGAATTCCCCATGGGGCGTGGTCTCTCAGGTCACACACTTGGGCTTAGGCGTCATTCCCAAAGCATAACATATGTGTAGCTGAGCCTGGTTTGGGGGACATCTGCTACTGGAGCCAGCCCTCCCCTTCAGATTCTTACCTTGAACCCAGGAGTCAGTCCAGACCCTCTGTCCCCATATGGTGAGTTTTGCTTTGGAAGTCTTTTTCTGGCAGTTTGTTCTGCTTGAAGAAAGTTGAAGTTCTACCTTGGCAAGCACCAAGCTCCAGAAATAATATGGGAGGGAGCAGGAGGTATTGTCCTCCACACTTTTTTCTTTCATGATTTAGCCAGAGACTTCCCAAGTTCCTATACTCCCTCCCCCATGGCCCGCTACCCAGTGGAACTCTCTTATCATAGCTCCTTAGAAAATTAGAGCTTCCTGGGTTTTTAAATCCAGAGATCACTAGAAAACCCAGATGAGATACAGGTTCTGTAATAATTAGAAACTGACTGGTAAAATCTAAGAGAAAATAGCTATTGCTTAAAAGGAAGACAAGCCTCACTAACAAAAGAATATTTTCTCCTTCCAGTGGATTGTTAGGATTCTTTCTCATGCTCAGCACAGTGAAGCTGAAAAGCCTTATGGCCCCAGGGCAGTGTGCAGCCTGGATTTTCTTTGCTAAGGTAAGAACGAGGGAAGGAGCAGGGAAAAATCAATCTCAGGAGCCTTCATATCCAGTGTTTTTGGAGCATGTGTAACGTCAGGTCTGATCTTCATGAAATCATTTCCAGTCATCGGCCCTGAGCCTGATCCTTCAGTGATGACAATTTCTGAGGTCCTCTGCCTATTTTATCAGCATGACATAATCTTTATCACACTCCTGGAAGGGATAATCCCCTTAACTTGCCTGGAGCCTTAATTTCCCCATCTGAACAGGAGAGGTTTGGCCTCCAGAAATCTCTAAGTCTTCTCCAGTTCCATGACACTGGATTCCTGGATATGTGGGGCAGGTCTTCTCTTCCTTCCTCGGGGCTGTGAGGGTGCCCAGAGCCCAAGTGACTTGCCCGACAGGTCTCAGTCTGTCAGGGGTGGTGGAGAAAGGAGAATAGACAAATGGCCAGGTAGGAGGATTTTGATGAAGCCTTCAGACAACAGACTATTATAAGGATGCCCATTGCATATCTGATGATCATGGTTGAAGCATAAGATAGAGAGGTGGGAAAATAAGGAGCAGAAAAAGCAGCTGTGGGATGCTCAATCGTGACTGAAATGCTTTGGGACTAACTTTTTTCTAGTGGAGCCTTTCATTTCTCTCGTGCCTGTGAAACAGTTGAGTTGCAAGGCCCTACGTGCTGCTTCTGAGAAATGAGATTTCTTCTTCTTTTTTTTTTTTTTTAAGATTTTATTTATTTATTTGTCAGAAAGAGAGAGAGAGCACCAAGCAGGGGGAGCAGCAGGCAGAGGGAGAGAGAGAAGCAGGTTCCCTGCTGGGACTCGACTCCAGGACCCTGGGATCATGACCTGAGCTGAAGGCAGATGCTTAACTGACTGAGCCACCCAGGCGTCCCAAGAAATGAGTTTCTTAATTTAACCTAATGAAATAATCATTTAAGATCGTACCTTGAGTCATCTCTATGTTTGTTGGTTGATTTTTTTTCCCAGAAAACAAACCATTTTTCTTCGAAATCAACATTTCACAGTAATATTTTCACCTCCATAGGTCTGCTTTTTACAGCATTATTAATTCTAATTACAGTAAAATGTAAAGAGTGGCTGAGATACTGACTTCCAGCATGACAGAATGAGGAGGTTGACAAATCCTCCTCCCAGAAAGTAACTGGAAAGCTGAAAAAAGATTGCCAAAAATATCCATTTCAGCTCTCTAAAAATTGACCAAAGGCATACAACAAACTGAGAAAGCAAGCACTTGTTCATGAATACTGCAGAACTCTGGGTAGGAGCAACGTGAGCCTGTGGCGGTCTTCCCTAAGGTCGCTCTCATTCCCTCCTCTTCGGCTCTGTCAGTGTGATATCTCAACCAGAGCAGGGCAGGCTGTGAAAACCAGCAGCCTTGCTGCTGCTTCCAGAATACTCTATTTGGAGTATTTTTAGTTAAAATGGCCATGTCAGTAGTAAATCGGTAAGAAGAGCCAATAACTCCACTATCTTGAGTTTCCAGTCCTCTTTGGGGCAAGCAATGGACCAGTGGTCTAGCTGAGCACTTAATAGGTAGTTCGGGGAGGTGAGACAGCAAGCAGGGGCTTGATAGCTCTCCATCTGTCCCAGATTGACCGTAGTCTGTGTGCACGAGCGGCAGAGATGGAGTGTGCCCAAAACACCCACATGTCCCTGGCCAGCAGAGCCTGCATGCACACACAGGAGATGGGAGAGAGCCAGCAAAAGCTGGGGCAGGCATGAAAAACTTCAGCCTGAAGTTTGAGTGTGCTCCCCAGCCCACACACAGAAGCAGAGAGAAGAAGCCTTTCTGGCTGAAGGTGTTTGAACAAAACCTCTGACTAGTCTTTGCTAAAACACTAAGCTATGCAGAGATGGAGATGACTTCTAGAGAGCCAGAAAAAGCTTAAAAATAAAAAGTAGAAAAAAAAAACCTGAGTAAAGGACATCAGCAACTGTACCTTATATGGGAGACTAATTTCATAGACTTAGTCCAGGCAAATTACTAAACAAGCAAAACAGCAATACCAACAACAGTGCTCTGGAAAAGTCAGAATCCAAAGTTGCTATGCTATATTATCTAAAATGTCCAATATTCAACAACAAAAAAGGTAGGGGCATCCAAAGAAACCAGAAAGCATGATCCATACACAGGAAAAAAGCAGTTAATAGGAGCTATGTCTGAGTGTCCTCCGATATAGGACTTAGTGGAAGAAGACTGCAAAGCAGCTATTTAAATACACTTAGAGATCTAAAGGAAACCAGGTTTAAAGAATTAAAAACTCAGTGAATACAGAATCTCAATAAAGAGATAGAGATGATTAAAAAAAAAGAGACCCAAGTGGAAATTCCATAATTGGAAAATACAATGACCGAAATGAGATGAAATGAAAAATTCCCTAGAGGTACTCAACAACAGATATAAATGGCAGAAGGAAAAATAAGTGAACTGGAAGGTGGAACAAAAGCGAGTATTCAATCTAAAGAGCAAAGATTTTTTAATAACTGAAGAATTATGAACAGAGGCTTAGAGACCTGTGACACAACATCAAGCATATCAACATATGTGTTATGAGAGTTCCAGAGGAAGAGGAAAGTGGTGTAGAAAAAAATACAATCAATGGATGACTTATCAAAAACAATGGAAACCAGAAGGCAATAGGATAACATATCCAACATACTGAAAGAAAAATCTGTCAACCAGGAAGTCTACATACAGCAAAACTGTCCTTCAGACGTGAAGGAGAAATAAAGACATTCCCAAATGAAGATTAAGAGATTTATTGCAAGCCTCTATATCAATCATTATATTACATGTGAATAGACTAAACATCCCACTCAAAAAGCAAAGATTGTCAGACTGGATAAAAAAGCAAGACGCATCTATATGCTGTCTACAAAGGACACACCTTAGATACAAAGACATAAATAGGATGAACGTAAAAGGATGGAAAAATGTCACCATGCAAACAGTAGCTTATTAGCGAGCTAGCTAGAGTGACTATATTAAAATCAGACAGGGGCGCCTGGATGGCTCAGACAGTTAAGCGTCTGCCTTCAGCTCAGGTCATGATCCCAGGGTCCTGGGATCAAGCCCCACTTTGGGCTCCCTGCTGAGCAGGGAGCCTGCTTCTCCCTCTCCCTCTGCCTGCCACTCCCCCTGCTTGTACTCTCTCTCTCTCTCCCTCTCTGTCAAATAAATAAAATCTTAAAAAAATAAAATCAGACAAAATAGACTTTATGACAGGAAATATTGCTAGGGAAAAACAAAGACATTTGTTAATGATAAAAGGATTGGTACACTAGAAAGATATGACAGTTATAAATGTATATGCACCTAACAACAGTACCCCAAAATGTATGAAGCAAAAAGTGACAGAATAGAAAGGAGAAATAAATTATTCAACAATAATAGAGATGCCAATCCTACACTCTCAAAGTTGATAGAACAACTAGATGGAAAAACAAGGATATAAAAGGTATAGATGACTTGAACAATACTATCAACCAACTTGTCATAACGGACATATGATACTCCACCCACTGACTGCAGAAAACACATTCTTCTCAAATACACATGAAACATTCTTCAGGATAGATGTTGTGCTGGGTCACAAAACAAGTCTCAGTAAATTTAAAAAGATTGAAATCATGTAAACTATGTTCTTTGGTCACAGAATTATATTAGAAATTTACAACAGAAAAAAAGTCTAGGAAAAAAACCATTTATTTGGAAATTAAATAACATACCTCTAAATAGTGCACGGGGCAAAGAAGACATCACAAGGGAAAATAAAAGTATTTTGAACCAAATGAAAACAAAACCACACAATATGTCAGAATTTATGGGATGCAGTTAAAGTAGTGCTCAGAGGGAAATTTATAGCTATAAACACCCATATCAGAAAAAAGAAAGGTCTCAAATCATAATCTGAGCTTCTACCTTAAGAAACTAGAGAAAGAGCAAATTAAATCCATAGTAAGCAGAAGGAAGGATATGATAAACTTAAAAGTGGAAATTAATAAAATTCAAAACAAAAATAATAAGGAAAATCATTGTTGGTTTCCTGAAAACACCAACAAAATTGACAAACCTCTAGCCAGAATGACTAAGAAAATAAGAAAGAAGACACAGCTTATCAAAATTAGAAATGAAATGAAGGACATCACTACTGATTCTATAGAAACTAAGAGGATTATATATTATGAATAACTTTCTTCATTTATATTATGCCAGCAAATTAGACAATTTAGAGGAAATGGACAAAGTCCCAGAAAGGTACAAATTAGGAAAATTGAAGAATAAATAGAAAATCTGAATAAACTTCTCTAACAAGTAAATAAATGTAAGTAGTAATTAAAAATCTTTCCACAAAGAAAAACTCAGGCTCAATGGGCTTTACTGATGAATTCTGTCAAATACTTTTATTTTTATTTTATTTTATTTTTAAATTTTTATGTTTTTTTCTTGTTCTTTTTTTTTTTTTTAATATTTTATTTATTTGTTTGCCAGAGAGAGAGGGAGAGCAAGAGAGAGCACAAGTGGGGGAATGACAGGCAGAGGGAGAAGCAGACTCCCTGTTGATCAGGGAGCCCCATGTGGGACTCAGTCCCTGGACCCTGGGATCGTGACCTGAGCCAAAGGCAGACGCTTAACCGACTGAGCCACCCAGGAGTCCCTCTATCAAATATTTTTAAATGAAATATTTTTTCTTTACAAATTCTTTTAGAAAGCAGAGGAAAGGGAATAACACCCAATTTATTCTATGAGGTGAGTTACCTGGATACTAAAACCAGACAAAAGAAAATCATAAGAAACCTACAGATCAATATTTTTCATGAACACAGATCTTTAGCAAAATAGTAGCAAACCAAATATGGCAGCATATAAAAAGAATTTTATAGCATGATCAAGTGATATTTATCAGGAATACAAAGTTGGTTTAACAAATGAAAATTAATATAATACATTATATTTATAGAATAAAGAACAAAAAATGCAGCCACGTCAATAGGTGCAGAAAAATCATTTGATTAAATCCAATGTCCATTCATGATAGAAATTCTCAACACACTAGTAATAGAAGGGAATCTTCTTAACCTGATAAAAGGCATATGTGAAAAACCTATAGTTAACATTATGCCAAATGGTGAAAGACTTTCCCTCTAAGATTGGGAACAACATAAGAATGTTTGTGCTCACCACTTCTATTGGGCAGTGTAGTATGGCCAAAAAAAAAAAGGCATCCAGATCAGAAAGAAAGAAATTAAATTGTGTGGGTGCCTGGGTGGCTCAGTTGGTTAAGCAACTGCCTTCGGCTCAGGTCATGATCCCGGAGTCCTGGGATCGAGTCCCACATCGGGCTCCCGGCTCAGCGGGGAGCCTGCTTCTCCCTCTGACCCTCTCCCCTCTCATGCTGTTTCTCTGTCTCTCTCTTTCTCTCAAATAAATAAATAAATAAAATCTTTCAAAAAAAAAAAAGAAATTAAATTGTCTGTATTCACAGATGACATTCTCCTATATGTAGAAAATCCTAAGAAATCTATAAAAACATTAATTGAACTAATAAACAATTTATCAAGGTCTCACGATACAAAACCAATGTACAAAAATCAATTGTAGTTTTATGTATTAGTAACAGTCATGTTCATAAAAATGAAATTAGGAAAACAAGTCCATTCATAATAGCATTACAAAAAATATGTAGGAACTTAACAAAGAGGTTCAGACTGAAAACTGTAAAATCTCTCTAAGAGAAATTTAAGAAGATCTCAATAAATGGAGAGACTCAATGTTGTTAAGATGGAAATTTTTCCTAAGTCGATCCATAGATTCAACATAATCCCTGTCAGAATCCCAGCAAACGCTTTTGTACGGATTCACAAACTGATCCTAAAGTGTATTTGGAAATTCAATAGCCAAAATAGTTTTGAAAAAGAAGAAGTTGGGGTTGAAAACTCACTATAAAGCTAGAATCATCCAGACATTATGGTGTTGGCATAAGGAGAGGCATTTATGGTCTGTTGACTTTCGAGATAGGTGCCAAGGCAATTGAACAGGGAAAGGATTTTCTTTACAACACACGGTGCTGGAACAATCAAATATCTATAAGCCAAAAAAAAAGGCTTAGCCCCTCATCTCACATCACCAACTCAATATGGATTGTGAACCTAAATGTAGGCACTAAAACTGGAAAACTTAGAAGAAAACATGAGAAGAAATCTAACTGACCTTGGTTTAAGCAAAGAGTTCTTAGATATGACACCAAAAGCATAAGATATAAAGTAATTGATAAATTAGACTTCATTTAAATTAAAATATTTTGCAATTCAAATTAATGGTCAAAAGACACTGTTAAGAAAGTGAAAAGCCACAGCCTAGGAGAAAAGATTTGCAGATTATATATCTGATTAAGGACTTGTTTCTAAAATGTCTTAAGAATTCTTACACTTTAATGAGACTACATACAACCCAATTAAAAGATGGTCAGGGACACCTGGGTGGCACATTTGGTTAGGCATCCGACTCTTGGTTTCAGCTCAGGTTGTGATCTCAGGGTCATGAGATCGAGCCCCTCATCAGGCGCCCTGCTCATCTTGGAGTCTGCTTAAGACCCTGTCCCCCTGCACATACCCTACCTTCCTGGCATCTGGCCCAATAAACATTAGTGGCTGAAAAAAAAAACAAAACTCTGTCCCCCTCTCCCTCTGCCCCTCTTCCCTGCTCTCTCTCTCTCTCTCTCTCTCTCTCTCTCTCAAATAAATAAATCTTTTTTAAAAAATAAAAAAAAATGGTCAGAAGATGTGAATACATATATATGTATATAATGGAATATTACTCAGCCATAAAAAAGAATGATGCCACTTGCAACAATGTGGATGGAGCTAGAGAGTATAATAAAAAGAGGAAGACAGAGACAATATGATTTCACACATATATGAAATGTAAGAAACAAAACAAATGAGGAAAGGGGAAAATAGAGAGGCAAACCAAGAAACAGACTCTTAACTATAGAGAACAAACTGATGGTTACTAGGGGCGAGGTGAGAGGGGGATGTGTGAACTAGGTGATGGGGATTAAGGAGGGCACTTGTTGTGATGAGCACCAGATGATTTATGCAAGTGTTGAATCATTATATTGTACACCTGAAACTAATATTACACTGTACGGTAGGTAACTAATTGGAATCTAAATAAAAGCTTAAATTTTAAAAAAGGAAAAAAGATGTGAATAGACATTTCACCAAAGGAGATATATGAATGGTTCATAAAGTCCATTAAAAGGAACTCAATGTCATTAGTCATTAGGAAAATGCAGATTAAAACCATGATGAGATACCACTACACACTCACTGGGATGGCTATAATAAAAAAAATACAGATGATATCAAGTGCTGACGAGGATGTGGGGAAACTGGGACCCTCACAAATTACTGGTAGGAATGTAAAATGGTTTAGCCACTTTACAAAACTGTCTTGATAGTTTCTTACAATGTTAAACATAAACTGACTATACAACCCAGCAATTCTGTTCCTAGAAATCTACCCAAGAGAAATGAAAACAAAAAGACTTTAACATGAACACTCAGAGTAGCATTCTTCATAGTAGCCCCAAACTGCACACAATCGAAATGTCTATCAGCTGGTGAATGTGTAAATGAGATGTGCCGTGCACATACAATGAGATACTATTTGGTAATAAAGAGGGATGGGCTACTAATACATTGCTATGCCACGGATGAATCTCAAAAACATTACGCTTGGTGAAATAAGCCGGTTGCAAAATAATACATATAGTATGATGCCATTTCTGTGAAATTTCCAAAAAAGGCAAATGTAGAGAGACAGAAAGGGTAGTGATGGTTTCTTGGAGCAGAGACTGACTAAAATAGGCTCAAGGAAGTTTTTTTTTAGGTAATGGAAATGTTCTAAAACCGGGTTGTAGTGATGGTTGCACCATCACTTAAATTAATTTCTTAAATGTGTTCATTAAAAATCACTGAATTTTACATTTACAGTGGGTGGATTTTATGGCATGTGAACCATCCCTCAAAGCTACAAAGTGCTCAAAGAATAGTGTTTAAATCTTGTCTTTCAGGACTAGGGAGGATATTTCTCCTCTGTGTGTGGCTTTGCCTGTTTGACCACTACTTTCATGAGCCTCCTTTTTATTTATTTTGTTTTTTCTTTTCCTCTTAAACTCGGAGGGAGGTTTATAATTTCCTTCTCTGTAGTTGATTCAAAAGTGGAAGGATTTTTTTTTTTAAAGATTTTATTTATTTGAGAGAGAGAGAATGAGAGACAGAGAGCACGAGAGGGAAGAGGGTCAGAGGGAGAAGCAGACTCCCCGCTGAGCAGGGAGCCCGATGCGGGACTCGATCCCGGGACTCCAGGATCATGACCTGAGCCGAAGGCAGTCGCTCAACCAACTGAGCCACCCAGGCGCCCAAAAGTGGAAGGATTTTTAATTGGCTGCTGTGGTTTAATGCTAATCCTCCTTAAATGTGGAAGATTGGATTAGATGAGCCACTAAGGTCTTTTCCAGCCTCAATACATGAAGCAGTCGTTCTCTTTTTCTCCCTCCCCTCTTCTCCTTTTTCTTTTCTGTTTGAAAATAAGCTCTGTTATCCTCAGTGGCAGAACATTTACCCATTCTTTGGGCCACCTACACATCAAAATGTGCTGACATTTGAAATACAACATAATTGTACTTAGCAATACAACATTTCCCCATGACGTCATTGTGACTCTACTGAGTGCCAGCATATTCGGAAAGTGACTCAGAAGGATGTTCCATTGGCCCCAGAGGAGAATTTGGATTCTGTGGAAAAACTCAAAGATACTCAGAAAGGGATGTCATTCAGAAGGGGCTAAGGGTACCTTCTTCCTTGCTCCAGATGGATCCATTCTCTGGTATTTTCCTGGGAGTTGTCACATGAACTTCATCACTTCCAAGGCATCCAGGCTTCTCTCCAGTCCTTATCTTAGTATCTTCTTTAGGTCTGAGAAAGCTCAGCGTGGGAAAAAAGTGCCTCTGAGTCACTTTATATTGTTACCACTGTTGTTATTGTTTTTTTTTTTAATCTGTGAATTTAAGAAACATTCTAAAAAGCTAAAAATAACAGAATATTTAACAACTTTTTATATTCCTCCCTTCAGTTTGATAAATTCGGGTGTGTGAAATCTAACTTCATCTTCATAAAATCTTGGAATCCCTTCCCACTTGTGAAGCATTGGTACAAGAAAAAGTGAATGAATTTAAGAGGAAAGCATTGAAATGTGTACACATATAAGGAAGATGTGGTATGCTAATGGGTTTTTCTAGCAGATTTAAGTTCTTGTATGAGAATTTTTTCTTGATCAAATAGTGCCTTGTCTCATCCTTGTTAACTTCAAACTGACTGGTGTTGTCAGCATCCATCAGGAAGAAGCAGTTGAGGCCAGTGTGAGTTTATGTTGAGGATGAGCCAGGAGAGGAGAGGCATTCCCAGACAGCAGCTCTGGCCCTCTAGGGTCCTTAGAATCAGTGTTTGCTCCCCATTTCAAAGCTGCCTCCATAAGAATGCTTTTTTTCCTTTAAGCTAATGCCATAGTTGCTGCCGCCATCTTGTCCTGAGTCGGTGGTAGACCAGCAAGCCAAGTCTTACTTAGTCTGTTCTCCTTATGGCCCTGGGAAAGATTTTTCTATAGCTTACCTAGGATGTGTCTCTTGATTTGGTTTAGTTTTTTGATTGATAGAATCTCAGCTTTCATGTGCATGGGCTGGGATGAGGGTGGCCCTCACTCTCAGGGCCATGCAGAGTGGGGTCAGCACCAGAGCATAACATGCACCTCCTTACCTGTTGCATCCTAGGTGCCTTGCTTGCCTCCCCCGGTCCCTTCCCTGACACTGTCATGATTTACTGCCTGCCTGAAACAGCTATTAATTCCATGGGATTTTAAGTTACACTAGATTCTTAGAGTTTGGGTGGTATTGTTTTTTAAGATTTTATTTTTAAGCAGTCTCTACACCTAACATGGGGCTCGAACCCACAACCCTGAGATTAAGAGTCACATGCTCCACCAACGGAGCCAGCCAGGTGCTCCTAAATGGAAAACTTCTTTTTTTTTTTTTTTAAAGTAATCTCCACACCCAACGTCAGACTCGAACTCAGAGAACCCTGAGATCAGGGTTCAAGATCAAGATCTTGAATTGCATTCTCTACTGACTGAGCCAGCCACGTGCCCCCCTGGGTGGTATGAAGAGTGCCTTATATCAAAGTGCATGGTCTCTCTTTGAATGGCCTTCTCAGAAATGTCAGTCAGTCAACATCGATTAGGGAAACTTTTGGAGTCTGGGGTGGTAGAAGTGCATTAGTGTATGTGTAGTGCTTGCCAAAGGCATCTTATAATCCAGAGGAGGAGGTAAGAGTGACAAGGGTGAGACTATTAGAGGACATTGCTGAGCAGGGTGGTATGACTTCAGGAGCTGGGAAGAGGGAACCTGTGAGTGGGCTGATGAAGTGGAGAGACCGAACTGGCCCCTGCAAGCCCGTCTTGCCTGGGAGAAGGGAAGATGGACGGACGGGCTTCCAGGTTGAGTGGCAGGCGCTCTGAGGTGGGATGTGCAGTTGGGGAACCGTGAGGAAACAAATTTGACCAGAGGAGGAGAAGAGTGTGAAGGTGTGAGGGGGAAATTCTGGGCCCAGAAGAGACAGATGAGGAAGCCCTAAAAGCCATGCCCCCAGAGACCACTGTGAACTTCTGAATGAGACCGGCTAATGGCAAATCGCGTTGGAAATGAGTTCCAAGCATTTAGAAGGGAGGCGAATCAAGGTAGTGAGTGATGGCAGTAAGGGTGAAAGGTCAACTTGACTGATCGTCTGAAGCAAAATAAATTGTAATCATTTAATCTATCATATAAGTGTTGTGTGATGTGTAATTAGTTAGATAACAAAGGAATTAGATACCAAATTAGATAACAAAGACTCAGATCTGTTAAAGCAGTAAGGTATGTGTGACAATTGTCTGGGTCTAAGGAAGATCACAAATGGCTCCAAGGTTTGTGGCTCGGACATGAGAAATCCATGGCATCACAGACAGAAATGGGGGGAGGGGGGCGGGTTATGAAAGAACAATGTTGGGGAGGAAAGCTGGTGAAATATGTTTTAGATGTGTATGGTGAGAAAATATCTAAATGGAGCTGTTTTGTGTTGGAAACATGGGGGGAAACGCAGGGGAGAACTCAGGGCTTCACGTGTCTGTTTGGGCTTCACTTAGAGCAGTGGAGTTGACATCAAGAGCATAAAGAAGTAGATGAGCTCACTGAGGGAGTGAGAGGGTTTGGGCGGAGCAGAGCGAAGGGCTAGGGCTTCACTTGGGAGACACTTAGATGCCAGAGATCAATAATGTGCAGGAGAGAGAAGTGATAGCTGAGGGGAGCCCCAAAAGCTCCGTGTGGGGAAGCCTAAGGAAGAGTTGAAAGGAGTAAAACAAAATGCCACCAAGAAGTCAGAAAGATCCAGATTGAGAAAAGACTAGAGCAAGGACTTCGCTAGCCTTGGGGGAAACAGCTTTAGTAGAAGGGCAGGGTGGGAGGGGGTGGAAGATGGATCATAAATATCCAAGAATACACAAGACACAGGAAGGAGATTGTGACTGGTGGTGGGCAGGGGGATAGCCAGATCTAGTGAAAATAACTTCTTTTCTGGGGAAAGAAGGAATTGGGCATGCTTGAAACTAGAAAAGAAGACACCATATACAGAGATTCGGAGATGCTGAAAAATGAGGGAAGTTGGGAGAACAGGCTTCAGTGGGAGATGGAAGGGGTATGGAGGCTAGCTGTAGAGAAAACAGCATTTTTCCTGAGCCTCAGTAGAAGGGCGGTGATAGATGGGAATGATGTTTTCCCAGGAGACGTGTGTAGGGGACTGGGATTTCAGGGGAACAAGGAAAGAGCACTCACTGTTTGGCTTTGATCAGATAGCTCAGAAATATTATGACTCAAGTGAGTTCTGACAGTGTTGATGTATCTAATATTTAAAACTAAATGCTGATGACATGTACACTCAACTGTAGGATTATATATAATGATGATGTGCTAGGAGCCAGATCATTGCTTATCAGTGCCTACTTAATTAAGCATTTACCGGATTTTAAAAGTCCTTAATAGAACCCATTCAAAATAAAGTAGGAAACCACTCAGCAATCGGATCTTCCATCCCTATCACCAAAGTCTGCCTTCTCTCGTGGAAGATTATGTGTAAATGCTACTGGTGGTTAATTGGAATGTTTGTCCCTGTTTTTATTTAGAGTTTGGATAGTCAAAATCCATGCTTATACAATGGGGTTTCCTTTCCCATTGCTGCTTAGGAAGATGCTTCTCTCACAGTCCGGGTAGAGGATGGGGAAACCTTCCTAGACATGGTCCTATGTGAGTCTTCAAACCTGGAGTGTGTGGTGGGCGCAGAAGTGGGGCAGGCAGACAAAAGATCAAGGAAGAATAGATTGCAAAATTAGAAAATTCTAAAACTGGACTCAGTGTTTCAAGATAAAAGAAGAATATATGAGATAATGTATGTGAAGGTAGCTGGAGGGTGACAATGTGCTAGGCAAACACAGAGCATTATTACGTACAGTTATATCAACCTGGACCAAGACTTCATTTTGACCTAGCTTTGAGTCCCAGGTCTGCCACTTTCTAGATGTGTGCTTCATTTTCTCATCTGTAAACAAATATAATAATAATATGTGCTATACTGAGAGGATCGAATAATATTGACACAGCCCTAGCAGAGTGAAGGCCGGCCGTGGGCAGGTCCTCCCTGGCCCTGTCAACTACTAGTTTAATTCTTTCACCAAATTAACCAGGGATTTCTGGAGTCTGAAGTTGTCGTTCATATTCTGTAGTTCTAGGTAAGTGAATTTAGCTGTGGGCAGCCTACTCTAGACACTCCTGGACATTCAGCATGCATGAGAACAAGGCCTCTCACACATATTAAATCAGATATTGTCTAACAAGAGAAGCAGTTGATGCACCATTCACAATGTTTTTAAACCTATATAAAGAGTCATTGATTCAGAACAATTGCTAGGCCTGTGAAAATGTGTTTGTTGGTTTCCATGGAGCCCACCCTGCTGGCTGTTGGGCGATGGTGCCTTAATTACACGCTGGGATTGCCAGGGAGCCTTCACAGTTCTCTCTATGACAACACCTCCTTGTGTAGTAACTCGACCACCATCCTCAACTGTGTTTCCCACGTAGGAGTCGCTCTTAAAAGAGGGGAGAAGATTCTGCTGGTAAGTTTCAGCCTCCCATTGATTTATCCTTATGAAGATCTCTTAAGTGGATAAGAAGTTTTCTGAGTTTTGACTGCCTATCTTTCTGGCTGTTTTGCCAGATCTTGGGAGCGTGGCCTAATGTCTTTCTTTTTTCAATGACACGTTGACATTTCTCTTGATTAAGATAAAGGAGTCTTGGCTATGTCAGTTTACTAGGTAAAATTAAGCCTGTTTTACAGTGAACTTGTAAACTTGTAAAAAGCATTGTCAACAGATGCTGTTAGGGTTCGATGTGCGCAATTTTATTTATTTATTTGTTTGTCTATTTTTTAAAGATTTTATTTATTTATTTGACAGAGACTCAGATAAAGAAAGAACACAAGCAGGGGGAGTGGGAAAGGGAGAAGAAGTCTTCCCACGGAGCAGGGAGCCCAATGCGGGGCTCGATGAGGGGCTCGATGTGGGGCTCGATCCCAGGACCCTGGGATCATGACATGAGCTGAAGGCAGAGGCTTAACTGAGTCACTCAGGTGCCCCTGATGTTCGGAATTTTAAAATGTCTCCAAGACCATTGATAAACCTCTTGCTGTTTCTGGTAGAATTTTTTTTTTTTTTTTTTTTTAAAGAAGGAACAGCTTTAGTGTCTTTTAAAATGAAATCATACAAATTTTATGTCTTCTAAATAACATAATTTTTTACTCTTCACTTAAATTTTTTAGATGTATTTGTACAGAAGTTTCAAGGCTTGCTTCGAATCATATCTCGAACTTCTGAGGAGGTGACAAGTAAATACATCTTTCAGGTTCAGGAATCAGACTTCTTAGGTTCAGTGTCTGGCGTGCACATGTGTGCAAATACACACACACACAGAACAGACCATGGGAAAATCCTGGGAGTAGAGTTACGATGTCCATCATGTTTTGCTCTCACTAGGTCGCCTGTGCTGAACAGAGTGTTAATTCTCTTCCTTCTTCTCCTTCCTACCCTGTTGCTACTATTACTCCTCCCCCACTCCAGTTTTATTGAGATATAATTGACATATAACATTGTATTAGCTTAAGGTGCACCACAAAATGATTTGATATTTGTATATATTGTGAAACGATCATTGTAATAAGTTCAGTTAACATCCATCACCTCGAATAGTTAACAGCAAAGTAGGGAGCCCTTCATGAATTTGCATGTCATCCTTGGGGGGGCATGCTAATTGTCTCAGTATCGTTCTAATTTTAGTATATATGCTGCCAAAGTGGGCACAATTACTTCCTTGTCTTTATTATCCTCATCATTCTTGTCATCCTCACTGTCTGTTGGGCGTGGAGAGCCCATCACTGTCTTCCCACACTTCCTGCATGGGGAAAGGGAATCAGGAAAGAGGAGCCTCCCCCATGCCCCCTCAGTTCACCATTTGAATTTCTTCCCTCTTCTCAGCCTAAGACTCCACTCCCTCTTCCCAAAGCCTTGGAAAGTTCACTGGGAGGGATCACTTTCTGTGTAGCTGTTAGTATTCCTTGTGTCCTCCTTCGGTGGTTATTCAGCACCGTAACGCATCAGGAATGGTCTGATGAAAATAAATGATTAAACCCAATGGAGCTCTGCTGTAAAGTGACTTTTATGTTGAAAGAGGGTGCTCAAAAATCTAATTATGGCGATGACCTAATTAAATCCTTTTTCTTTTTCACAGTTTAAGCAGCTATGGCAATGAGAATAACTTTTCATGGAAAATTAAAACCTAGAGGCAGTGCCTGATTTCCTTTACAGTGTCTAGCTGGGCAACAAAAACAGCTTGTGGATGTCTTTCCAGGACATCACTGTCGAAGCAACAGGAACTTGAAGTGGCACGTTCGGGAGCTGCCTTGTTATTGTTGAGCTGCATGGAAACAGTCAGCAAAGAAGTTAGTTATCTGGGAATTCTTCGTTTATGAATAAGGTTTTCCCAGAGGGCACATGGGAGGGGAAATACAGTTGTGGATTAAAGAAAAAAAAATTAAATTCCATTTCCCATTGTCAAAACAATTCATAGGGAAGGGAGTGACGCTAAATGGACATTTTGCTATTTTGGATAAGTTTGTTGTTTTCTTGTTTCCAATTATGCACTCCTAATTCTTTTCTGGGCTATTTTTAGTGCCATTGACCATCACAATGTTCTCTGCTGCAAAAGTATGATAACAATTCTGGCTTTCACAACTTCTGCCTGAATGAATTTGCAGCAGTCCATTTACTAAGGAAATACCCCGAATTTCTATAAATTTCCTGGCTCCAAGGCTTATATGTCATTTAAAATAACTAAAAGTGATTTTTGCAACACAAAGGCCAGTTAACTGGGGACGGTTACCAGGCGCCTGTCCAGGATACACTGATGTGTCCTTAGTGCACTCTGGGATAGTACTGCATAAATGAGTGCTGAGCGAATGCTGATCTTGTACACAGCTTTGCAGGTTTGTGCACTCACATCAGATACAGAGAAAGGGGGAATTCTGCAGGTATCTCCTGAAGTACCTCCCACCGCCCCCAATAATGCTCTTGTGATGCATATACGTCTTTGTTGTTTCCTTCTAGAGACCCTCTCTCTGCATCGCTAAAACTAGGTTTCCTAAGGTGTGGCCGAGCCCAGAGTCATCCGCAAAGAGCTTTTCAGACCCTGTCCGTGCCCAAACCAGAGGGCAGGCTGGGGGCAGAAGTGATTTGCCCATGGCACGAGACAATGAGCGGCCATAGTCAGAGCTAATGAAATGAAACCGTTCTTGGGAAGTCCAAAGGAGCAGACGTTCGTTACGGGAAAGCTGAGTTTTGACGCGTGATAGAAAGGAATGACCCGTGGATGTGAAAGACTTTTAGTGATGTTGTTTTTGTTTATATGTGTTTGTCCCACTGTAAGGCCAGGCAGTTAAGTACAAGCAGGTTGTGCTTGTTTGTATGACTCCAGAATAGCCAGCCAGCCAGTGAAATATGCAGCAAGGAAAGTTTTTTTTCAGTCAACAACGAATTGCCTGGTACCATATAAACACAACTAGTGTTAGACTGTGTGTGTTAATTGTATTGTTTCTGTGCACTCCTGGGGGGTGTTGGTGGAGGGAGGTTGTGAGGGGAACAGGATCTCCCTGGCGACACCTCCATATCTGTCCTCTTGTCGTGTGACTTCTGGGGGCTGGGGGGCATGCCCCCAGTGCAGCCCCTGAGCCACATCTGTCTCCAAGGAAAGTTCTATCTTGTTTCTTTCCTGCCTCACCTCACGCCATTCATTATTCCCTAGTTGGGGCTTTGTGTGTTTTCTGCACAATTTTGCAGGTGCACCC